GTTATTCCGGAAGTTCCTCCACGCCCTTTTGTTCAGTTTCTTCGCTTCCATACATGCCCTATTATACCATGGATTCTTCTGTTGCTTCTCGGATTTTTCCCTTTGGGCCGGGATGAACCTGTTTACTGCCTCCTGACACTTTTGGGTAACATAGTCCATCATACCCTGTACAGACTTGTCTCTGAGGTCTGTGTCCCAAGGTCTGTGTGTGTGTGTGTGTGTGTGTTGGTGTGTGTGTGTGTGTTGGTGTGTGTGTGTGTGTGTGTGTGTGTGTGTTGGTGTGTGTGTGTGTGTGTGTACTCACCTATATGTACTCACCTATATGTGCTTGCAGGATCGAGCATTGACTCTTGGATCCCGCCTTTCTAGCTATCGGTTGTTTACAGCAATGACTCCTGTCCCATTTCCCTATCATACCTAGTTTTAAAAGTATGAATAGTATTTGCTTCCACAACCTGTTCCCCAAGTGCATTCCATTTTTCTACTACTCTCACGCTAAAAGAAAACTTCGTAACATCTCTGTGACTCATCTGAGTTTCCAGTTTCCACCCATGTCCCCTCGTTCTGTTATTATTACGTGTGAACATTTGATCTATTTCCACTTTGTCAATTCCCCTGAGTATTTTATATGTCCCTATCATATCTCCTCTCTCCCTTCTTTTCTCTAGTGTCGTAAGGTTCAGTTCCTTCAGCCGCTCTTCATATCCCATCCCTCGTAGCTCTGGGACAAGCCTCGTCGCAAACCTCTGAACCTTCTCCAGTTTCTTTATGTGTTTCTTCAGGTGGGGGCTCCATGATGGCGCGGCATACTCTAAGACGGGTCTCACGTAGGCAGTGTAAAGCGCCCTAAAAGCTTCCTCATTTAGGTTTCTGAATGAAGTTCTAATTTTCGCCAGTGTAGAGTACGCTGCTGTCGTTATCCTATTTATATGTGCCTCAGGAGTTAGATTAGGTGTCACATCCACTCCCAGGTCTCTTTCTCGAATCGTTACAGGTAGGCTGTTCCCCTTCATTGTGTACTGTCCCTTTGGTCTCCTGTCACCTGATCCCATTTCCATAACTTTACATTTACTGGTGTTAAACTCCAGTAGCCATTTCTCTGACCATCTCTGCAGCCTGTTTAAGTCCTCTTGGAGGATCCTACAATCCTCGTCTGTCACAACTCTTCTCATTAATTTTGCGTCATCTGCAAACATTGACATGTATGATTCCACTCCTGTAAACATATCATTTACGTAAATTAGAAAGAGGATTGGTCCCAGCACCGATCCTTGAGGTACTCCACTTGTTACTGTTCGCCAGTCCGACTTTTCGCCCCTTACCATTACCCTCTGGCTCCTTCCTGTTAGGTAGTTCTTCACCCATACTAGGGCCTTTCCGCTTACTCCTGCCTGCCTCTCAAGTTTGTATAGCAGTCTCATGTGCGGTACCGTATCAAAGGCCTTTTGGCAGTCAAGAAATATGCAGTCTGCCCAGCCTTCTCTGTCCTGCCTTATCCTTGTTACTTTATCATAGAATTCTAAAGGTTGTTAGGCATGATTTCCCTGTCCAGAACCCATGTTGGTGCTTGTTTACAAACCCAATGCTCTCCAGGTGCTCAACAAGTCTTAGCCTAATTATTCTTTCAAGTATTTTGCAGGGGATGCTTGTCAGTGATACGGGTCTGTAGTTAAGTGCCTCCTCCCTATCCCCCTTTTTGAAAATCGGTACGACATTTGCCTCCTTCCAGCAACTGGGCAATTCTCCCGACATAAGTGACTCATTGAAGATCATTCCCAGAGGCACGCTGAGAGCCTGTGTGTGTGTGTGTGTGTGTGTGTGTGTGTGTGTGTGTGTGTGTGTGTGTGTGTGTGTGTGTTCGGCTAAATATATGATAACTGATGCTGAACCTCTCCAGGTTATAGCCACTGTTGAGGGGTATGAAGGTCGTGGCAGTTTTCCCCAATAAGCTCAACATCTTTCGTGGGAAATTACTTGAATGAATAATCACAAAAGTCATTCATATTCATCTTGAAAACAAGAGATTACCAAAGGATTCACAACATGGCTTTACAAAAGGTCGTTCATTTAAATTTAAATTTTGCCCCGAGGGGCGAGTTTATTGGGCAGCGCCACTCATCTTGTGAGTGAACATACCGCCATAGCAGAATGTACAACACTCCCCAATAGGAAGAAAACCCGCTGGGTTGTTCATCCTGTCACTTGTACCCAGACACAGCTGGGACTTGCTTAACTGTCTCAAGTGAACAGCTCCTCAAACAAGAAAAATAACATCTATCAACCCTTAAAAGCTTACGTTATCTTGAGGGTGCAAAATGGGGAAATCTTTTAAGAACAGTATCAATATTTGACAAATAGTGTTTTCCTAACTCAAACAATGTGGGGTTTATTATTCTACACATACTTCTGATGTCTCTCAGGTGTTCACATTCACGTAGATAGTGGTCAAGGCGGTGTCCATCACTCTCACCACAGATTCTGCAACTTCGCTGATCAACTGTTGTTTCCATTCCATATCTCCATGGATATTTGTATCCAAGACGGATTCTCGCTATTACTGATTCTCTCCCTCGTCGTCCTCCTCTTCGGCCATAATGATTGGGATTGCCAGCTGCAACCATGTTGTACCATCGTACAGATTCACTGGTTTGTGCTTCTATCCTCCTTTCCTCAGTTACCTTGTCACGGTGATGTTGCCTGATAATACCTCTAATTTGTAGTTGAGTCTTGGGTATGAAGTATTCAATATGGTCTCCTTCAGCGCCTTCAGCAGCCAGCACATCTGCTCGTTCATTCCCACATATTCCAACATGGGAGGGGATCCATAGAAACTTGACTCTTTCCTGATTGGTAAGTACTCTCACAGCTCTCTTAATTTCAGCGACTATTGCAAGATTTTCTGCCTGATTTTTACTTAGGCTTTGCAGTGCTGCTTTTGAATCGGTGCAAATCACTGCACCATTAGTGTTCCGTTCAAGAAACCTTAACGCCATAACAATGGCAGTTAGCTCTGCTTGCGTTGAAGAGGCATAGTTCTCAATACGTGCTTTTTCTTCATTTCTGCGTTGGAAGGTATTATCCTTGATTACCGTGTATGCTGCACCAGCCCTGCCATTGATAGGATTAGATGACCCGTCAGTGTAGATTTGATCTAGTTCATCTCCGGTTTCTTTATAAATGTCCTCGAGATACTTGTGCCTCATTTCTTGTGGTATCATGTTGGATTTTTTCATTGCCATTTCATTGATGATGATCTTGAATGAGTCATCCTCCCAGGGAGGTAACCTCTCTACAGGCAGGAGCTCACGGGCTTGCTCAAGCAGGTGAAGCTCTTCGAGGTAGCAGACTGATCTGTGATGCCATTTTTTGCTTCTCCTGTTTCCCCCTGAAAGTAGCACAGAGCTCAGTTTTTTCTTGGCAATATCATTGTAATGGGGATCTCTGGCTATCCTAATTGCAAGCTTAGCATTCAGCTCCTGAATTCTGCTTTTAACACTGGGAAGGGACGACTCCTCTCGTAGATTAGACGTTTTGGCAGTTCTTGGAACTCCAAGAATGATTGTCATGGCTTCATTTTGAATGCTTTCAAGCCTTTTCATATCGCTTTGGGAGTAGGTGCACAGAACTGGTGCGGCATAGTCTATGACGGAGCGCACATAGGCTGTGTACCTCATTTTAAGCACGGCAATAGAGGCTCCATGTCCATTCCAGGTCATAGCTTTCAGTGCCCTGAGTCGACTTTTGCATGTTCCTATGAGTTGATTGAGCTCCTCTTTCTTTCCCTTGTTAGAGCCGACAGTGACGCCAAGGTACCGATAGTGGTCAACCCATTCAAGTGTTACACCATTAATTTGCAGTTCTTCATTTGCTCTCCGCTTGTGATGGGAGTATGCCTTCGTCTTGTTTGTGGAGAGAGTGAAACCGAGCTCAATACATTTCCTTCCGAGGAGTTCAATGGACTGTTCAATTTTTCCCAAGGTGGGAGCTTGTATTAGGACATCATCTGCATATCCCACTTGTTGTGTTCCTTCCGGAAAATCAATATTTGCAATGGCGTTCATAAGTACATTGAATAGTGTAGGGCTTAAGACTCCGCCTAGGGGGGTCCCGAGTTCCATATTCATTGTTCTGGAGACTGCTCCATTGAAGCAAACCTTGGCTTTCCTCCCTGTGAGGTAGTCTTCAACCCATTTCATGAGTCTTCCCTTGACACCCATGCATGCAAGCTCGTCCAGGATCGCAATCCCCTGTGCTTTGTCGAAGGCTCCTTTGATGTCAACAAATACAGAGTACCTAGCCGTGTCATTAGCCAAGTAATTAACTATACAATTTGCTGTGCTCCGTCCTTTAACAAATCCATTGACCCCCTCTTCTAACCTGCCTATTTTGTGCAACAGTCGGTTTAGGATAATCCTTTCAAGCATCTTGCAAGTGCATGACACGAGGCTGATAGGTGTGTAATTACCAGGGTCATTAGGCTTCATGTTTCATAAAATATGCTCTCATTTTTCCCAGCATATTCAAAGCAGTAAATTTGATACAGTAACTAATGAAAATGACACTGATACTAATCACAAAGACAGATTAAAAAGGCAGTGTCTGGGATGCTCCCGGACGCAGGTTCGAATCTTCGTCACGGCCCTTGTGGATTTGTTCACAAATTAGAAAGGTAGAGGCTCGTGGTATTGGGGTGTTGTCCTAAATTGGATAATTCCACATTTAATTCAAAAGAAACGTACTTAGACTGGAATGAAATTCCAGTGGGGGAAACTGTTCCTTGTGGAGTGCCTCAGGTGGAGTGCCTCAAGGTTCTCGCCTGAAACCTTTTGTCATTTTCCATACTTGTAAATAATTTAGACGTGGGATTGACCAGCAACATTAGCAAATGTGTCTATTCCTCAACACTTTCCAAGCCTAGTCCATCGGCTTGGAAAGCCGATGGACTAGGCTTCTTGGCGACATTCTCGTCACCAGGAAGACTAAATATTTGTGTATTACAGATAACCTCAGGTGGGTCTGAGAGCATCTTGATGGCAGTGAAGGCAATGCGGGACTGGGGTCGAGACGTGAAGGGCATCAACAAGGCTGAGATTGTAGCCTGCGTGACGGCCCACGCCGCCTTTAGCAAGGCTGCCGACATACTGGGAATGAAGCTTCGGCAGGTTAGTATGTTTAGCTTACAGGGGACAGATTCACGAAGCAGTTACCCAAGTACTTACGAACCTGTACATCTTTTCTCAATCTTTGGCGGCTTTGTTTACAATTATTAAGCAGTTAATGAGCTGCGAAGCACCAGGAGGCTGTTTATAACAATAACAACAGTTGATTGGCAAGTTTGCATGCTTGTAAACTGTTTAATAAATGTAACCAAAGCCGTCAAAGATTGAGGAAAGATGTACAAAATATACAGAAAGATTCTGCCCGAAACGCTTTGCGTAATAGTGGCTTTAGGCATTGTATGTACTAGCTCTATCTATTAACCAAACAAACTTTGTAAAATCTCTTTATGTATGTACCTTACCTAAATAAACATTTATTTATTTATTTTACACGTTCGTAAGTACTTGCGTAACTGCTTCATGAATCTGGCCTCAGGTTCTTGGCGACCAAACTGGTAAGACACTCGCCTGGCGTTCCGCGAGCGCTATGTCATGGGTTCGTATCCTGGCCGGGGAGGATTTACTGGGCACAATTCCTTAACTGTAGCCTCTGTTTAACGCAACAGTAAAATGTGTACTTGGATGAAAAAACGATTCTTCGCGGCAGGGGATCGTATTCCAGGGACCATAGGATTAAGGACTTGCCCGAAACGCTACGCGTACTAGTGGCTGTACAAGAATGTAACAACTCTTGTATATATCTCAAAAAAAAAAAAAAAAAACACAGTTCAGAAAATAAGGAAACGACGACGTTTCGGTCTGTCCTGGACCCTTATCAGGTTGTGTGATAGAAGAGAGGAAGGTATGAGATAATAAATAAGGTAATTCTTACCCATTATCGTGTGAAAAATGGGTAAGAATAAGAGAAAGGGGCAAAGCTTAAGTCAGATCACGTTTGTTAAGAAGGTTAGACCATTTAAGTGTTCACCGTGAAACAGAGACAAAAAATTTTTGCAGGTTTTTAGCTTTAAATTCATTCTTTTTTTGGTCTCATGAATTTCCAATTTTTGAATTCTATGATTTATGTAAACAATTTGAATGCTTATTTTACGTGTGATTTAATTAGCAAAACATGATATTTATACGTACTTCATAGAGATAATTTTAAAGTTCAAATTCATTTATTTTATTCAGTGCTGAATGCAGCATGAGGAATTAGTAGGGGAAAAGGAGACAAAGAGGACCCCTTTTTGGAATTTAGAGCCAGGGTGGAAATAAGCGGGAATAGTTGCTGCTTTCTGTAACTTCTATTTGCACGGTCAGGTGGTCCGAGGTCATTAGTATTTTTCGTCGGTGATGGGTGAGTTCCGCCAATGCAAAGACACCTAGTTGTGTAAGGCAAGACGTACATTTGTAATCGTCTATTTGTGTAGGTATATATTTTTTTAGAGGCTTTAGTTCTTTGGAACCAGTCAAAAATCTGGCTGTTTGAATCTGTTCTAAAAAGCTGTTATAGTAAATCATATTATTCATATTTCTCAAAGGCCTGTACATATAGGGGGGGGGGGACTCCAGCAAAGCCACGTCCTCATGAAGGGGCTCGGCAAGCTCCTCAACAAGGACCCAGATATGCAAGACGACAGCCAAGTGCGAACGTACCCTGCAGACATCCGCACCAAGATGTGCGTAGTCACAAAGCATAGTCATCTGCTCGTGGAGCTGCCGCATACCCACTTCCTCGGGAAGTTCCAGAGCAAATAAGCAAGACTGAAGTGGGGCAAAGTGAGCCCCACCCAAAAACACATGAAAGATGGAGTTCGTCTCCCATCAGTGAAGTGCACAGGAATTTTTGCCAATACCCCAAGGAAAAAAAGACGGTTGTCATTGAGCCAGAATGAGCCCGAAACCACAAACTGTAATCAACAAGAGGAGATGGACCAGAATTCAAAAGAGGCAGGATCCATCATAGAAAAAGAGGCCCAAACTATGCAGGAGGTACCGAACCAAATTCACACAAACTACCAACGGTGCAATACAGGAGAACAGAAACCTCCGGAAAATATGAGTCAGAGTCGCCAAACGTGACCTAGAAATGAGCGGGGAGAGGAAGGTGTCCTCCTAATGAGAAGGCTTAGGGCATGGAGGCAGATGTGAAAGCGAGCATGCTAAGTCCCCGGTGGGACCAGAAGACTCAAAATTCCTCCACCGTCGATTTGGAAGGAACCAACTCCAGGGAATGCCGAGTTATGTCCAGAGTAAAGCCCCAAACTGACTACGAAACCCTCAGACACTTCAGAGCCTGAAACGGGGATAAAAGACCAGAAGTGGGGCAAATCACACCCATAGGAGGAAGTGCGAACCAAGTCCAGGTGAAGGTCACCAACACCTCCAACCCTGAGTCCCTAAGACAACAGAGGCCAACTCCAGGACATCCAGCCAATCAAGATGTCACAAATGAAAACATGGGCAAACATAGCCCATAAAGTGGCAGCTGCCTGGAAAGACTCGAACAGGGAGGTAGAATCCGTTAATGCAGAAACCAAGTGAGAACAAACCTCACAGGACTCTGGGTCATAAACATTCCCAACCCAATAAGCAGCATGGCGGAGGCAGAAGAACTATTATCAGGTAGCAAAGACGATGAACACCACTCAAACTCGCAAAACGCAAAACAGGCTTGCTGGACTCTCCATAAAGACCACAACATAGACCTAAGGGGATTCCAAGGGGCCGAAAGGAAAACCAAGCAGGTACCCCAGGCATTGGGGCCGCTCACCAAAGAAAACGGGAGCCACAAGCAGCATAATACCTGAGCTGCAAGACGGCATGTAAACAAACACACTGGACTTCTGGTTCAAGTTCATCTGAAGGAGTTGCGTGGTGACCACCGGCCAGGTCGGACGCTCCTGAGGTCTCTCCGCACTGGCTAGTGTTTACGTTGGGTGATTGCTTGTTTGTCCTGCTGGTGGTGGTTTGCCACTGACAGGGTGACGTTTGCCTTAGCCATGGGGACGTCTCGCCCTCCAGTGCAGAGGACATTGTCGGCTGGTCTAGCGTTTACGGTGCCGGTGGACCATCCATTGGTTGGTGTCGCCCTGGTGGACGTGCTTCATGTGCACCTGTCGGACCTGGTGGGCGTCCAGCTGCTTCAGGGCAACTGTGCTGTGGTCAAGTTCTGCCTCCAGGCTGCCTTTCAGGCGTTTCTCGAGCGTTGTGAGGGGCGTGTTTACCCTCTCCCTGATTCAGCTGGCTCACTTAAGGTGGTGAATCTTAGTGTCACCTTGACGTCTGTGGCAGTGCATGGTGCCCCCTTCGAATTTCAGGACGGCTTTTTAGCCTCCTGTTTTGAGTGATTTGGGACAGTGTTAAGTGTTCGTTGGAACAAGGTCGTTGCCGGGCACTGTGCTGGGATGCTTGATGGCTCCCGCACCCTGACGATGTCGCTGAAGTGTAGTGTACCGTCGTCGATGTCCGTGTTGGGTTACATGCTCTGCTGCCTGCATCGGGGGTAACCACACACCTGTTATAGGTGTGTTCACGAGGGTCATCTGGGTGCAGCGTGCGACGTGGGCGCAACTGGTCGGGTGCATATTTTTCGTGCAGAGGATTTTCTGCCCCTGTTGCGTTTGGACAGTACTGAGGATGAATGGTTACTGTGCCTGAGGCGCCTGATTGCCTGTCTGCTGCTTCGGCTGTTGAGGCGAGTTCTACGGCCTGTGCGACATGTCTGGTAACTGCTGTGGCCCCTGGGGTTGTTGAGCCGGTGTGTGTGGGTGTTGGGCTGTCGCCTGCACTGCGTGTAGTGAAGGATGTCCCAGTGGAGGTCCATGTCCCGCCCCCGCCTCTGGATGTAGTACCGGCTCCCGTGGACGAGGGTTTTGCCTTTTTGGAGGGGGTACTTTGGCAGGGAGAGGTGCTTGCCGTGCCTGTGTGTGTCGGCGACTGTAGTTCTGATGCTTTAATCCCTTTGCAGAAGCGTGCATGCCAGTGTTCTGAGGCTGTTTCCCTGAATGATGTGGACAGTGTGAGCGTTGTGGACTCTTCGGACGGTGTGGGTGTGGACCGTGTGGGTGTGAAGATGGTGGACATGCCTGCGGTGGAGCCTGGTGGGAGTGGTGTGGTGTGGCCTGTCTTGAAGCATTCGCCGTGGGCTCGGAGTGTATTTCCCCTTCATGGTGTGCCTTGGAAGGAGGTGGGAGAGTATGGTGCTCTGGCGTCCCCCGATGTAGTTGGGGGTTGCCCCCTGATGATCGGGATCTCGTCGTGGTGCTGAAGAAAGGTGTGCCCCGGGGGGTGTCGGCTCCTGTGCCCAGTGGCAGGGTCGATGCCGCGCCTGTGTCCCCTGCGGTTCCTCTTCCTTCGTTGCCCCGGTCTGGGGAGAGCCTTGTCCCGGCTGCCGGGGTCGTGACCTGTGAAGGTCCGGTGTTGGGCCCTTATCGAGATGCCTGGGTGCTTCCGAACCCATGGTGCTCTTCAACCTATCTGGGTGCCGGGGGTGAAGGAGTTTGTTTATCTGGTGCCGGATAGGATGTCTCAGCCAAAGGCGCCTCCTGGTGGCCGGGTGTCCTTTGACACGTGGATGATTTGGGAAGTGTACTGCTTGCGCTTTCCAATATACAAGTTCCCGGGGAAATATTAGTAGATGTCTTGCACACAACGCTACACCATGGATCAACTGACGCCATGAACTCGACGTCCCGCCCTACTGTGAGGCAAGTCTCCCTCTACCATCCACCTCTGTTTTAGTCGCCACTCCTCTATCTACGACACGTCGCAACTAGCACTTTTGACATTCTTATCCTCCTCACCGTCATCGCTTCTCCCAACATCTGTCCTGGCGCAGTCATCAGGAGGGTAAATTCTTCATGCAAACTGCACCTACTCAAGAAGAAGACTCCCAGTGTGTCTCAACACTACAAAAGGGACTCCTGGTTCAACCTTGATGCCGAGTGGACGGTTGCATGCCTCCTCCACCTGGGAGCCGCTGGATCACGTTTGGTTTTGCGATTTTGGATTTGATACTGCCGTTTGGCATCCCTATTCAACGGTCCGGTTGTATGACGCCTGGCGCGCACATCGCCGCGGGTCACCGGATTGTTGATAGATTTTTTTTCATGTGTTCTGGCTGGTTCTCCCAGCAGAGTGACGGAGTCTAGCTTCGGCTTGGCCGAAAGGTGTCGGGAGTTGGTGGGTCTTGGTGGGCTCCTGGTGTGCCCTCAGTCGTGATCACGCTGACCTTTGCTGTCCCGGAGGGCACTGGATAACCTTTGCATTTTAGCTGGGGGCCGAGTTTTTGGTTTTGCTACCTGGTGTTCTCTGTGTGGGGCGGGGCCGGTGCTTGTCACCCTGAGGGTCTCCTGGGGCTCCCCAATCATCAGCCTGTCTGCGTTTCTATGCCGCGAGGCATATTAGTTTCCAGTGATTTTCGTCACTTGTTTCGCAATTATGCTTGGTGTTTCACCTTACCGGGCTTTGCCTTAACCCTTCACGGGTACGCCGGGGCGCTCCCGATCCCACGATCGTCGTCGTCTCTAAATCAACAACAACACTACAAAAGAGCATCCCAAACCGAGGACCCAACAGAGAAAACAAGACCCATGAACAGCCCAAGGCGAGGCCCCCACCTTGGTGAGCCAGCCTCAGAGACTAATCTTGAACACACCAAATTAAAAAGGTAACCCTGTACAAGGTGGCACAGGTGGCACACAGGGAAGAAAATCCTGAGTACCTGGAGCCTGAAGCCCAGGAAAAGGCAAGACGACATGGCAAGCTGGAATCAAAACATGCTCATGAAGCCACATGAGAGGCTTCTTTTCCCATAGTTATATACCCATGTAACCGCCTACCCGCTGAAGCCGTAAATATCAAAACACTCCTGAATTTCAAGTTCCAGCATGATAAAATAATCAGGACAAATATGGGGGGACCTTTGACATGCCGCCGGCTTCTTGTCCTCATCGATGCCACTAGAGAGAGATTTAGTGGCTCTTAGGTATATTCAGGTAATAGGAAACGAAAAGAAATGACAATATTTTGGTTCGTCTTGGAAGTGATCGGGTTGGGTTATGTGTTGTGTGGCAGGGTGTTGAGACACTCCATAACAGTGAAACCACAAACTGAATGAAATGTTATTAACCGCCTTAATTGAATAATAATTGTATCTTGATATGAAATTCAAATTGTGAAGGAACGTACTTTCTCCAACAGGTGAAGATGGACCCAGAAACATGTAAGGTGAACCTGTCGGCAATGCGAAGGGCTATCAATGGCAACACTGTCATGGTAAGTCCCCTCTTGACCGTTGGAATAGTGGAGGTATGAGGCTTTCATGGGCCCTATAGATATTGCCCCGCGGGGGATAGGCTACAACTTATTACAATTTAAAAACTTTTTCATATATGCTTGCATATTTATAACTGTCACGATTTGTTATATATATATGTCAAAACACACAGAAATCACAATAGCGTGATGCATCAATGAATAATGCGTCACGGCACTTGTGGATCTCTTTATATGTCAAAATGTTTTTGTTTTTGTATCGAGGTCTTCCTCCACATCTATTTGACTGCGACTGCCTGATACCCCTTATTCTCTCACAACCTTTTATAAGCTACATATATTAATTAATGCACGGCCTGGCCTGTATTATGTAATCCCACGGTGGCCGAGTCCCTAGGCTACAGCTCTGTGGCCAGATTCACAAAAGCACTTACTCAAGCACTTACGAACGTGTACATCTTTTCTCAATCTTTGCCGGCTTTGTTTCTAATTATTAAACAGTTAATGAGCTCCGAAGCACCAGGAGGCTGTTTATAGCAATAAAAACAGTTGAATGGGACGTTTTCATACTTGTAAACTGTTTAATACATGTAACCAAAGCCGTCAAAGATTGAGGAAAGATGTACACGTTCGTAAGTGCTTGCATAAGTACTTTCGTGAATCTGGCCCCTGGTCTTATCTAGGCTTCAGCCAATACTGCAACACACAAACAATGAACAAAAGTTAAAGACACCCGCAGGACAACATAGTCCAGTGCACTATGAAATCATATTAAGGTGATGCATGATGAGCAAACCACACAGCAGAAGACGGACAAACACTACAAACTGATGGAGTAGTTTCTCCATCTTCTGATGTGGGAAGATCTGCTGATCTGACGATACAAAACAGTCAAGCGAGCATCCAAACAAAACAGTCAAGCGAGCATCCAAACAAAACAGTCAAGCGAGCATCCAAACAAAACAGTCAAGCGAGCATCCATCCGGTACGGTCAACTTATCTTCAGCCTCGTTATTGTGGCTCGTCGTCTGAAATGACACGTAGCAATAAGAGTCCAAGGATGGCCGGCTCTTAGCTTTGAAGCAGAGGAGCTTACCCATGATCTGACGGCCGTAAACACTACAGGCAGCTCCACACGCTGCGACATCAGCAACAGAACTGAGGAGTCGGCTGAAGGCTGCGGCCGGGTCACATCGTAGACATAATCAGTACTAACGAGTTTGAGTGAATGCCTTGTTCTGCGTCATGGCAGCGGTATTGTAACGACTAATTCCACTATTGTAACGGTTGTCATTAATTTGTAACTATAAGGCTGTATAATAATTGTATATTATTACCCCATAAGTACTGGAATGTGTCCGCCCACACAGCGGAAAATGCTCACCCTAGCTATCAGGGAAAGCTGGAGAAATGACCAAGGTGTAAAAGATATCTCTGCAATCAATTACAGCCTGGATGGTTAATAGGGGCTACTCGTGTAACACATAAATGCCGCCACCACTCCTCCTTGAAACTGTTGTAATTAGGGTAATTGACTCTGGAGATGAGCCAACAAGCGCCAGTACTCAGGGAACTCAACCCTTTTTGATAATCACTGTGTGAATGGAATTCCTTCTATCTTGACTTCATAAATTACAGCGTGGAAATATTTACTCATTAAATGGTAACACAGGTGGCTCATAGATGATGTCCACATCATCTCAAGATCAATATCTTAGATATTAATTAAGGAAAGTATGAAAATACTCAGGAGACAAGTTAAAAGCAAATTTATTTAATAATGCAGATTAAATAACCCTGAGCTAGAATGACATCATATTCCTTAAGAGGCATGAGATATATGGACTACACATTGTGCTGGGAAACTCAACAGATCTCATCTTCCCACACCCAGTTCTCACTAAAATCCTTTGCTCTGGCATCCTTCAAGGTGAAGTCTAGGCTCCACCCCTGTAGGCACCTTACCCTCAGAAGCTCCACCCCTTCCTAGGTCTACAACCAATCGCCTGAACTTAGCCTAGGGTCTGGCACCTTCAGCCAATGACAAGCTAACATAAAGGGTCCACGTTCCCCAATCACAGCCCGTGCCTGCCCGTGGCACCTAGTCCAATCAGTCCTCATCCAAAACCCCAGAAGGTTTTGGATAAGGGCTTATTTGGGACTTGGATGAGGCTTGGATTATTTGGGTTTTTGGATGAGGGTTTAATCTTACTAGGCTTTGGTTTTCACATGGAGCCTAGTAACCTGGATTCTATCTGTCATATATCCCGAGAGATGTACACTTTATGCCAAGCCACTTCCCTCTGCCCCGTTGTAACCACGGGACGAGGGGAGACTTGTGACTTACACTTAATGGTTCCAGGTGGCTGTAACCTGAATGACTCGAGCAGTCCAGAAAGGGACAGACAAGTAATATTTATGACTCCATAGCCACTAGCTGAGATCTGAGACGGACCAGGGCAGGTAGAGAGGGGAGAAGGGAGGGAGGGAAAGGAGAGAAAATAGATAAGAAAGAAAAGGAAAGAAGAGAGTGAAGAGGATAAGTGTCTGGCCCCTACAACTCCCCCCCCCCATGTGGAGTTTAAAAAAATCGTATGTATGGATATAAACCATGATTTTCCTTATCCTGTACCCTAACCATTAACTAAAATTGTCCCATTGCCTCGAAACAAAATTATTTACCGTAGCAAAATACGCTGCAATCACTAGCCATAAGTTGATTGCCTATAATATTAACAATGCATACAATACCTATAATTAAATATTTACAAACATATAAAAGAGTACTGTGCACAGTGAGCAAATTAGTCCCAACTGTCAGTGGTTGACAGTCCAGCAAGTCTTACCCAATACCTCTGGAAAGAACAAAAACATTGTAAGCCTAACCTGATATAGCTAAATGAAAAATATCCCTAACGTAACGTAACGTAACGTAACGTAACCTAGCCTAACCTAACCTAGCCTAACCTAGCCTAACGTAACGTAACGTAACGTAACGTAACGTAACGTAACCTAGCCTAGCCTAACCTAACCTAGCCTAACCTAGCCTAACCTAACGTAACGTAACGTAACGTAACGTAACGTAACCTAGCCTAACCTAACCTAGCCTAACCTAGCCTAACCTAACCTAACCTAACGTAACGTAACGTAACGTAACGTAACGTAACGTAACGTAACGTAACCTAACCTAACCTAACCTAACCTAACCTAACCTAACCTAACCTAACCCAGCAAAAGTAAAATATAACTAAATTTACTGGATGGTCTTCTGCCACCAAAGTGTGTTCCTTCGAGAGCCACTTAACACATCAAGGTCACAAATTTCCTTAAATTTTCAAAAAATCAGGAAAGGAAAAGTCAAAACAACGCCTATAGTGTTTCACTCAATAAAGCGTCTTTTTATTACATAAATCTCTGAATAATTCCAAATATTCAGCTAAATTCTCCTTGACTGCTGATCTGTTGTTTTAATCTATCATGAAGACTGCTGCCTCATTATAGTCATCACTCAATGTTTAGTTAAATTACCTAAGAAGCAACAAATGGACTGAATGAGTCCATTTCTAAGAGTCTAAGAATGAGAATTTTTGCTTTTTTTAGACTCCTTCTAAGAATGTGGTTGAGAAGGAAGAAAATCAGAAAATGGACTGGCTTCGGGACTTCGTGTGATTTCAGTAGAAATCCGGTTGAAAGAATTTTTCACAAGTAATCCATGGCCCAGTGATAGCATATGCGGCTGGCAATACTTTGGTCAGGGTTCGCGCCCACCTCACAGCCCTGGTGAATTTTCTCAAGGTGGCATTATATTGTAGAGGAATGACAGTAGCTAAGACCAGAGTCAAAAACTTACCACAATATATAAATACGGAATCTGTCTCTCTCTCTCAACATGGCCCTACTGGGGAAGCCTCATGATGCAAGAATGTACTCCATGGAGTGCTTCGAGTACAGTTTAGCTTCGTGTATGTATTTTTAAACGTGGCAGAACTTTACTAATTACCAACGCTGTCTCTCTGCAGCTTGTAGCCTCTGCCCCCGGGTTCCCACACGGCATTATTGACGACGTGGAGGGCGTGGGTGCTCTTGGCCGGCGCCACGGGGTCCCCGTCCATGTTGACTGCTGTATGGGCGGCTTCCTCCTCCCCTTCATGGAGCGCGCCGGCTACCCCTTGGCGCCCTTTGACTTCCGGGTGCCAGGCGTCACTAGCATCTCCGCCGACACTCACAAGGTAACTCACTCATTCACGCGCCAAGGTTATCACATTATACTTATTAGCTGAAGAGTATTTGTCATGCGTGGGTTCCCAGTCCGTTCTCTAGATTGGCCACTCCGTCGTCAAGATTGGCCACTCCGTCGTCAAGATTGGTCACTCCGTCGTCAAGATTGGTCACTCCGTCGTCAAGATTGGTCACTCCGTCGTCAAGATTGGTCACTCCGTTCTCTAGATTGGTCACTCCGTCCTCAAGATTGGTCACTCCGTCCTCAAGATTGGCCACTCCGTCCTCAAGATTGGTCACTCCGTCCTCAAGATTGGCCACTCCATCCTCAAGATTGGCCACTCCATCCTCAAGATTGGCCACTCCGTCCTCAAGATTGGCCACTCCGTCCTCAAGATTGGCCACTCCGTCCTCAAGATTGGCCACTCCGTCCTCAAGATTGGCCACTCCGTCCTCAAGACTAGCCACTCCGTCCTCAAGATTGGTCACTCCATCCTCAAGATTGGCCACTCCATCCTCAAGATTGGCCACTCCGTCCTCAAGATTGGTCACTCCGTCCTCAAGATTTGCCACTCCGTCTTCAAGATTGGCCACTCCGTCCTCAAGATTGGTCACTCCGTCCTCAAGATTGGTCACTCCGTCCTCAAGATTGGTCACTCCGTCCTCAAGATTGGTCACTCCGTCCTCAAGATTGGTCACTCCGTCCTCAAAATTAGTCACTCCGTCCTCAAGACTGGCCACTCCGTCCTCAAGATTGGTCACTCCGTCCTCAAGATTGGTCACTCCGTCCTCAAAATTAGTCACTCCGTCCTCAAGACTGGCCACTCCATCCTCAAGACTGGCCACTCCGTCCTCAAGACTGGCCACTCCATCCTCAAGACTGGCCACTCCATCCTCAAGACTGGCCACTCCGTCCTCAAGACTGGCCACTCCGTCCTCAAGACTGGCCACTCCGTCCTCAAGACTGGCCACTCCGTCCTCAAGACTGGCCACTCCGTCCTCAAGACTGGCCACTCCGTCCTCAAGACTGGCCACTCCGTCCTCAAGACTGGCCACTCCGTCCTCAAGACTGGCCACTCCGTCCTCAAGACTGACCACTCCGTCCTCAAGACTGGCCACTCCGTCCTCAAGACTGGCCACTCCGTCCTCAAGACTGGCCACTCCGTCCTCAAGATTGGCCACTCCATCCTCAAGACTGACCACTCCGTCCTCAAGATTGGCCACTCCATCCTCAAGACTGGTCACTCCGTCTTCAAGACTGGCCACTCCGTCCTCAAGATTGGCCACTCCATCCTCAAGACTGGTCACTCCGTCTTCAAGACTGGTCACTCCGTCTTCAAGACTGGCCACTCCGTCCTCAAGATTGGCCACTCCATCCTCAAGACTGGTCACTCCGTCTTCAAGACTGGCCACTCCGTCCTCAAGATTGGCCACTCCATCCTCAAGACTGGTCACTCCGTCTTCAAGACTGGTCACTCCGTCTTCAAGACTGGCCACTCCGTCCTCAAGATTGGCCACTCCATCCTCAAGACTGGTCACTCCGTCTTCAAGACTGGCCACTCCGTCCTCAAGATTGGCCACTCCATCCTCAAGACTGGTCACTCCGTCTTCAAGACTGGCCACTCCGTCCTCAAGACTGGCCACTCCGTCCTCAAGACTGGCCACTCCGTCCTCAAGATTGGCCACTCCATCCTCAAGACTGGTCACTCCGTCTTCAAGACTGGCCACTCCGTCCTCAAGATTGGCCACTCCGTCCTCAAGACTGGCCACTCCGTCCTCAAGACTGACCACTCCGTCCTCAAGACTGGCCACTCCGTCCTCAAGACTGGCCACTCCGTCCTCAAGACTGACCACTCCGTCCTCAAGATTGGCCACTCCATCCTCAAGACTGACCACTCCGTCCTCAAGATTGGCCACTCCATCCTCAAGACTGGTCACTCCGTCTTCAAGACTGGCCACTCCGTCCTCAAGATTGGCCACTCCATCCTCAAGACTGGTCACTCCGTCTTCAAGACTGGTCACTCCGTCTTCAAGACTGGCCACTCCGTCCTCAAGATTGGCCACTCCATCCTCAAGACTGGTCACTCCGTCTTCAAGACTGGCCACTCCGTCCTCAAGATTGGCCACTCCATCCTCAAGACTGGTCACTCCGTCTTCAAGACTGGCCACTCCGTCCTCAAGATTGGCCACTCCATCCTCAAGACTGGTCACTCCGTCTTCAAGACTGGCCACTCCGTCCTCAAGATTGGCCACTCCATCCTCAAGACTGGTCACTCCGTCTTCAAGACTGGCCACTCCGTCCTCAAGATTGGCCACTCCATCCTCAAGACTGGTCACTCCGTCTTCAAGACTGGCCACTCCGTCCTCAAGATTGGCCACTCCATCCTCAAGACTGGTCACTCCGTCTTCAAGACTGGCCACTCCGTCCTCAAGATTGGCCACTCCATCCTCAAGACTGGTCACTCCGTCTTCAAGACTGGCCACTCCGTCCTCAAGATTGGCCACTCCATCCTCAAGACTGGTCACTCCGTCTTCAAGACTGGCCACTCCGTCCTCAAGATTGGCCACTCCATCCTCAAGACTGGTCACTCCGTCTTCAAGACTGGCCACTCCGTCCTCAAGATTGGCCACTCCATCCTCAAGACTGGTCACTCCGTCTTCAAGACTGGCCACTCCGTCCTCAAGATTGGCCACTCCGTCCTCAAGACTGGCCACTCCGTCCTCAAGACTGGCCACTCCGTCCTCAAGACTGGCCACTCCGTCCTCAAGACTGGCCACTCCGTCCTCAAGACTGACCACTCCGTCCTCAAGACTGGCCACTCCATCCTCAAGACTGGCCACTCCGTCCTCAAGATTGGCCACTCCGTCCTCAAGAAACAACACATACATCAGCTTAATTACAGAAAAAACAAATAAAAAAAAAAAACACTGAAATCGCACAGTTACAATATTGAACAAACAAGATAAGAGTAAACCTGAGCTTCAAACAACCAAACAACTCAATACGAACTACGTGAGCAAACTACACACAAACTCCCACCACCCCACGGGGGGCCTCGTAGCCTGGTGGATAGCGCGCAGGACTCGTAATTCTGTGGCGCGGGTTCGATTCCCGCACGAGGCAGAAACAAATGGGCCAAGTTTCTTTCACCCTGAATGCCCCTGTTACCTAGCAGTAAATAGGTACCTGGGTGTTAGTCAGCTGTCACGGGCTGCTTCCTGGGAGTGGAGGCCAGGTCGAGGACCGGGCCGCGGGGACACTAAAGCCCCGAAATCATCTCAAGATAACCTCAAGATAACCCGTTTTCTTTGTTCTTGTCTTGTTAATTTGCATAACTTCTATTAACAGAAAACACGCAGCCAAACTCAAAAAATCCTTCGACACCAAACTGGTGCTGGGTTTGTTTGAGTTTTCCAAACTGGTGCCCATTACACCTGGACAAGAACCGCCAATGTCCTGCCTCACCAGGGGCGCCAGGCAGGACGCTACGCCTGGAAAATGTCAACTTTGTCCACTAATATCCCATTCGAAGGGGGAACATATATTAATTCGTCTGCGGTAATGACTAGTTTAATAATAATAATAATATTTTTTATTTAGGTAAGGTACATACATAAAGAGATTTTACAAAGTTTGTTGGCTTTATAGATAGAGCTAGTACATACAATGCCTAAAGCCACTAATACGCAAAGCGTTTCGGGCAGGTTTAGAACACGAACTACACAATATAACACTATGGCCCTCCACAGCTCTATACAACTTATTACAATACAACCCTTCACTACCGATGGAACTTGCACTTAAGTGTAAGTTCCATCGTTAAGTGTACTGCCTTCCATCGGTACTTAAATGAATCACTTAAGATATGCAGGGAACCCAAACATGGTTCCAACCCAAACACACACAAGAGCTACAGTGTGAAACAACATAACATTAGGTAGGAGAGACCACTTAGATAAGACGTCCCCCTTACGCACTCTTGAGCATTAGGATCCCGGTTGTACAGTCAAGGGTCCTGACAGAAGTGGTTGGGCACATTGCCTTTCACCTACTGCCTTTGTTCACCTAGCAGTAAATAGGTTCTCGGGAATTAGTCAGCTTGTTGCGGGGTTGCATCCTGAGAGGGAAGGAGGTCAGTAATTCGACCCTGTGGGGCGGGGGGGGGGGGACCTTGATATAAGCCTACCGTGTATGAACACACTCTGGCTTCCTGTCCCCCCACACAATAAATTATTATATAATAATTATATACAAGAGAAGACAACATCGACACAAACTACTCCATCACAGCCAATCAGCGCTACGCTCCACCAAACACCAGACTGTGATAGACTCCGCCCTGACCCACTCACGCAAGCCGGAGTACAGTGAACACCAAAAGATCAACCACCTGAAGAACATAGATCAACCACCTGAAGAACAGTTATGAACGCACCCACTGTTCATCCCACCGAAGAACCCCTCTTCAGCCTCCTTACACAACACCATCTTCACCGAATCACTCGGGACGTGGTGTCGTTAACTACCATCACCCCCCTCTCCCCGGGCCTCCCCCTCACAGCACACACGACCAACAGCCTGGTCCACAGGGCCACTGACCCCGGCCCCCAGCCACAGACGGCACTAACTCCACATCCGTATAGCTACCACGTCAGAAGAGTCGTCTGTGCCGTCACCACAACATCCCTCAACTTCAGCCATCAGACTGCCGTTGCGAAATGGCACATCTCTCAGAGGCAGCGATGAAACAAGCCTACTCCCGCTGTTAACATTACAGAACATTGGTTCATTCCCGGCAACCACTGCAGCTGCCGGAAGCCCCCAGAGCACCAACCAGTTGGAAGAGGGAGGTTAACCGGTGTTATTCTGGTTAGGCAACACCGGAGTATCAGCGTTATCCACCATCGGGGGGCCAGCTATTGCTTCCACCATCATCCACGCCAATGGGAGACACCACAAATCCACCTTCATCCTGAATCCCCAAAGCAGCATCACTCGTCCAGGTGGACC